GGAGGCGGAGGTTGCGGTGAGCCGAGATCGTGCCATTGCACTCCAGCCTGGGTAACAAGAGCGAAACTCTGTCTCAAAAAAAACAAAACAAACAAAAAAAAAACAAACAAAGTGCTGGGATTACAGGCATGAACCACTGCGCCCAGCTGATAAAATTTTTTGCTGTTCACACTATTGGCTCTCTGATGCAATCATCTGGGAATATATTTTATGATAATAATTTTAAGATATTTTAAGATTAAAAAGAAAAAAATCTGTTTACTGAAAATTTCTTTTGTTTTTTGAGATGGAGTCCTGGCTCTGTTGTCCAGGATGGAGTGCAGTGGCGCAATCTCAGCTCACTGCAACCTCTGCCTCCCAGGTTCAAGTGATTCTTCTACCTCAGCCTCCCAAGTAGCCTGCCACTAACCCTGGCTAATTTTTGTATTTTTAATAGAGACAGGGTTTCACCATGTTGGCCAGGCTGGTCTTGAACTCCTGACCTCAGATGATCTGCCCGCCTCAGCCTCCCAAATTGTTGGGATTACAGGCGTGAGCCCCTGTGCCCAGTTTCTCTCTTTTTTAAAATAAAAATAGAGATGGGGTCTTGCTATGTTGCCCAGGTTGGACTCAAATTCCTGGGCTCAAGCAATGCTCCCATCTCAAACTCCCAAAGTATTGGCATTAAAGGCGTTAGCCACCATGCCTGGCCTATCTGCAGAAAATTTCTCATTGTAATATCTTTTTTTTCTTTTTTTTTTTTTGGTAGAGACAGGGTCTTACTGTGTTGTCCAGGCTAGTCGCAAACTCTTAGGCTCAAGCAATCCTCCCATTTGGACTCCAAAAGTGATGGGATTACAGATATGCCACTGCACCTGGCCTGTAATATCTTTAAAACCAATTAAATAAAAATAAATGACTAAACATAAAGGGACAATTTAATGAACTACAATATTATATATCCAACAAGTATGGTATTTACAAAGATAGTAATAGTATTAATAAATAATAACAAAATAAGATTAGTAAGGAAAAGTAGAATATGAAATTATACATACAGAGTGATTATGCTGAGGTACAAATATGCAGGCACATGAGACTGGCAAGGAGGAATTGCTAACTGAAATAATGAAATCACAGGGAGATATAAATTTTTTTCTTTTGATACTATGATGATGTTTATTCAATAAACAAACATTCGCAGTGGAGAAAGAGAAAAAAAACCCCACCCAAAGAACTTTGTCTTTTTCTTTTCTTTTTT